GAACCTGAACAGATTTTTAAACAGCATGGGCCGTGTGGGAAACAAGCTGTAGAAAAACATTTTGTAGCACATGGTTTTATATTATATTATGAATTAGAAGTGTTTTACATTTAAGAGTTGAACCAACTGTAAAAACCAAGAACAAGAAATTATGACAAAAGTCAGTTTGGAAAAGAATACAGAAGGACATTTATGTCAAGGTGCAAATAATCAGTTGGTATCTTCACTGAAAATACTGGGCAATTTGGTTTTCCTATCAAAGTTGCTTTCTTTACTATCTGGACACAAACTAAATAACTTTATATCCTCAGTTTATGTATGTTTGCATTTAATTTCAGTAGCATATTCTATTCTACATTTCTTGAGTAGCGTACTTATGCCCAGTTCACTTAATATATTGTTTTGCTAATGGAACTACAATTTGTTGTTCAATAATCACTCTTGCTTTTCTAATGTTTCTGGGTTAAATATGAAGAGCATGAATCAGCATTAGCAATCATTATTAAATCAAGATCTGTAATACTGATATTTACAAGTCCTAAATTATTGAGAAAGGGCGCAGTACATCAGCACTGTACCGTGAAACTCATGGACTTTAAACTTGGTCTCCAACTGAGCAATGATAACATAGTTTGTAACTATTGGCAACATAAATTACATTTGGAGCCAAGCGTAATTTTTAAGAAGTGTTTTACTGTCTCTGCATTACAAAATCTGCATACTGCAATAAGAAAAGCGATGACTATGTAAATTTTTAGTTCAAAATCCAGGCGTTAGCAAACGTGCCTGCCCAGAACCAATAATTCCAACTATACCGGGTTGAACAGACCAACAGCATAATACAAGTTTTCTACCCATCCACATGTGGATGAATGATTTTGCTTAAATGTAGTTGCATGTGTTCCAGAAATTTCTGAACATTTGGATGCAACATGATACATTACAAAGAAATGATTCCGTTTCAGGTCTTCTGAAATTCACCCGGAATATTTACTATTGTTAAATACGTGAAGGAAAAGGTATCTATTTTATAGACATATAAAATATGACATTTTTTAATAGTGTAAGCGCTACTGGAGTCCTTTCCCCAACATTGAGTGGATTTAATAACTGGTAACACTTTATGGCACTTACGAATTATACTGTCAATCACCCCTGTGTATTCAGGAAATCATTTGGAGTTATCCAGGGCTGGGTTGTCCTGCTTTAAATGATCCTCTAAATCAGTGGTTCTCAACCTGTGGGTCGGGACCCCATTTGGNTGCCTTACCTCCCTTGAGCTGGGCCAGCTGGTGGTCGGCCTGCTCCATCTCTGCCGCTTGCCAGCTACGCCTCGGCCGGCGCAGGGGGCGGAACCACGCATGCGCGGTGCTCCCGGGCAGGGAAAGTCCTCGACTGACGACCGGTTTAGTCCTCGACTTACGACCGGTTTAGTCCTCGACCTACGACCGGTTGGGGTCGTGGCATTAAAAAGGTTGAGAACCACTGCTCTAAATAACGCTAACCAGAGATTGTGACTTAATATTGATTTTCCATGTCACTGAAACAAAACATATCCAAGCTGGAAGGGCAAAAGTTGCTCAGATTTTGGTTGGTCATTTTTCCTTTTTATAGAACACACTGCGGTTTTCTCTAGTTGTGGGTGTTCCAATACTGGAGGTTTTTAAGAAGAGATTGGACAATCATTTGTCTGAAATGGTATAGTGTTTCCTGCCTCAGCAGGGGGTTGGACTAGAAGACCTCCAAGGTCCCTTCCAACTGTGTTATTTTGTTAGTTGCTTAGGTTATTGCTACAGGTTATCTAGCCCAACAGTATTACAAAAGCACAGAACAATGAAATTAAAGCGTGTGCGTTATCTGGTAAGACCCGTGCTCTCTCCTGAATTCCCAGTGTTCTAAAATAACTTGTCAATTGAGAGCATGAAGCATGATTATGGGGGTGCAAATATAGGTCTTCATTTAAATGCAGTTCATGATTCCCTACCATTTTATATTTGGAATTGATTGAAACCGGTCATCTTTTATTTTCCACTTAGAACTTTAACATAATCTCTGCCAAAGCCTACAGAAAAATCAGTTGGGAAATAAAGAACTATCTTCTGTTTCTGTTTTCTAACGTGGTACAAATAATGCATCGATAAGTTCATTATGCTGAGATCCCTTCAATCACTCATATCAATAAGCAATATTGTATTTTTGGTGCTGGATGTACAATATTTTTATGTTTCTTTTCTTCTTCCAGAAAACCCTGGTTGAAACCCAGATAAGTAATTTTTGTTGTATCTATTATTCCTTAAGTCTAGTTCTATTATTCATATTTCAATTAGCCGTTATTTGAAAATTCAATTTATAAAAAAATAAAGGCACCAATGTTAACAGGATACCACCATGCAAAAATTAAATGCAACCCACAACTATAAGTGTAGTGATGAATTACATAAGAGACAATTTAAAATATATTTGCAGATAGAGCTATAGATAGATGTACAAATCAACTTGCGTATATGAAATAAATGAGGTTTTTATTGGCATTTTTAAACAGTGTATTCATTCTTTACCTTTCAAAGGCAAACTTTTAATGTTATTTTTAAAATAAATTATGCAAATGCTTTATCTCAGGTTTTGGTAATCTCACAGATTTTAAAAAATATCAGTTCAAACAAATGCGTAAAATAAAGACAATGTTCTTGACAAATGAAGATTTATAGTTTAGGATTAATCTTTTTTTATTTTTTGATCCATATCCAATTCATTCACCCATGTTTATTTCTAATAATCGAACGAGCCCTAAATTTGCATGATGAAATTGTTGTAGTTCTGCTTTTCTTCCACTCAACATTCCTTCAGTTGGTTCTATATTTTCTATTTTAAGAAAAAAGAAGGAATTAACAGGTTCATCTACTATAAATCTGTGTAATTTTAATGACATCTTGGACAAACTCCTTAATATTCAGCTTATAAAGCAGTGCTCAGTGGAACTAAACTTGTTAATATCTGCATTTTAATAGACGTTTTCCTATGGAAAAATGCTTTTATTCCACCAAATCCGGATAGTAAATAAATATATAATTCCAACAGAAAGGCCTGATATACAATTTTCCTTCAAGGATCAACACCATTTTACTGTCATAAAAAACTTCAATAAACTATGAAATAATGAAATTGAATCTATTTAAAGTCTGACCCTACTCTCAATGAGATACAAGTACTGCAAAAATATAAGAACTATAATAATTCTACTTTTCCAAAAAAGCTGTCTTCATTTGATAACTCTTAACCATTCTCTCTCTCAGCAAATGTATACATCTATGTTGAACTACAAGACTATCAATTAGCAAATTTACCTCTGAATGAAGGTTTATAATTATTGATTGGACCAACCAACAACCCATTTTAGGTTCCAGGGTTTGTTTGGATATTAATATATTATTACTCTCGGAAGCGATTTATGAATACAAACACACACACAGGCACACATTCACAATTCAGCATCAGAATATAAAATCCACAATAATAATGAAGGAAAGATTCCAAGCAGATCTGATTTCTGATCATTTCCATTCTTTCCTACAAAATTTGCCTGGATTTTTTAATTCGTGCTTTATTGTTAAGCTTTTCTGGAAAAGAAATACTGGACTTAAAGCAGTCCACCGTTACGCAGGATAAATTAATTTGAACACATTAACGAAGTTGTATTTACAGCACAAATATCAAATTCTTTTGCTGCTACAGCAATTAGAAGTGCTAAGTCTGTGGGTTCAGATGAACTCATGATATACATACATATAATTCTTGGCCTTAGAAATTATCTAGGTTTGATAACTTAAAAAACATACATGCTTAGATTCCAAGAGTTACATTCTGCAGAACCAAGAAAGTAAATGTTTACAATCTGACATTCAATTCAGTGAATCCTAATTTTGAGGTTAGCTCAATCCTTAGTAACTTTTAATTCTACACATAACATGTTTCAATTTAGGTAATATATTTCTTGTTACAAAGTGAGTGTTTCTGAATATACAATGTAAACGTTTGTTTAAATATCATTTTTCTTCAAATTTTCTTCAGATCTGGCAATATTTCCCTTAATATAAATAACTGGCTTCTGTAAATACTATGTTCACACAGAATTTAAGTTATTTTAACTAGTTTTTTTTTTTTTGAAAAATCAATTTTAAAACTTCAATTTGACAATTTGTTCAAAAAAATGTTTCTGTTGTGGTCTTCAGCAAGTGAAGAGATATGCAATGACTTTCAGATATAAAATAATGCATCAAGTAATGGGTTGATAGATTATAAAAGATTAAAAGCAGGCATATTGTTCTATCAGTAGAAATAGCAATTAACTAATGTTTACAAAGGAAGGAAATAATAGTTTTGATTTTGCAAATGGGCCAAGAGTCTCCTTCCTTCCCCCCCTGCTCCCAACCTAATTGAAAAAAAATGATAACACATTCATTTTCAATTGAATGCTTTTTCCCCACCCACTAACAGTGCATTTAAAGATGTGTCAGTTGTGCTAAAAAAAGAAGAAAAACATTAAAAAAGATACTGTGCATTTTTTTTTAAACGAACAGCTTATATCCTGTCTACGAACAATATTCTGGATTAATTGCAATTTAAAAAGTAAATGGCCTATTTCTACATATCCACTTTTTAACAAGGGCTGCAGAACATAAACTCCCCTTTTCATGGCCATTATTTGCAGACCATAATTGCTCTTTAAATCCTTACAAGATACCAGGACAGACCACTCTTCCCCAATGTATCATGGTCTTTTTTCCCCCCTTCTATTTTCATTATTTTAGACACTGTTTTGCTATCTTACAGCAAATTCAAGAAATAAAATATTGCTCCAGTGAAACTATTTTATCTCCAATGATTACATAGTATTCCTAACTAAACAACCTTAGCAAAACCTTTGGACAAGTCAGAAAGGGAGTACAGAATTGAAAACGAGTGTTTTTTTTTAAAAAAATAAAATAAAATAAAAATAAAATAAAATTGGGTGTTTATGTGACTCTTCAGACTCTGATTACTGCCACAATCGTAACCCATGATAGAGCCTAAAGGAGCCATCAGTTTGTCAGTCACCAATCCTAGTTTGGAGGGTTCCCTTAAATGGCTGTCTCAAACAGGGATGCTGAAGAAAGTCCATTGAATGAGGCTAGGATAGGCCAGAAAGTGACCAAGAGCCGATGTTGCTATTCAGCAGCTGCCTGGCCTTGTTGACGGGAACAGCACCACCATTTAACATACCTACGATAAGTCGTTTCGGCACTATCCGATCCTCTCAGGTTGATATTTTGTTCAGTGCTATCTGACAAACTGTCCATCACGAGGAGTCACTGGGGAAGAAGCCTCAATGTATCTCAAGCTTTAGTTGGGACTTGATTTGTCACGTCTTTGAATAAAGAGATTTCTCTGGCTGGAAGTAGCTCACTTCGAAAAACGAAAACATAAAAGAGTTGAGGGTTATTGTTTTTTCCCTCCTCTAAACATTTAAATCACTCGTCTGCCCTTTCTCAGGACAGATTTCTACTCTCTGACACGACCGTTTTGTCTGCAGTAGCAAAGTGCACAGTGTGGCTCTCTCCAAGCCACTTTGAAAAGTCACATTAACTTCCTGCTATAGGCAGTCTTTACATAGTGCAACTTGTCCTTTAAGATAGTCCCTACAAGGGCAGATCCTTTTATGGTTTAGATGAGATCCTGCGCAGCTGAACAACAAAAGATCGCCTTGGAAAACACAGTGCTTTCTCTTTTCATCAAACGATGGGACCAGAATATCATTTGCAGACTCAACGGTATGACACTGAATGTTGTATCTGGAAAATGAAAGAAAAAAAACCCCATATATATCATTTTGTAGTACAAACAGTTCGGATAATATTCATTCAGTAGTACATTTACTACTGGTGCAAAACCCATTTTCCTTGCTGATTTATCTATTATCTCTCTCTCTCTTCCTCTTTCATCCATCCATCATATCTATCTATCTATCTGTCTGTCTATCTATCTAATCTATCATTTATATCTATTATCTATCTATATCTATTTATCATTATCTATCTTGTACCCTGCCCTTACAATTTTTCAAATAGCTCAAGGTAACAAATACTTCTCCTTCTTCCTCCCATTTTCCCTACAACAACCATCCTGTGGTTTAATAATTAAATGGCAAAAAATACTTAAATATCATGTTATGTTAACTGTTCATCTAGGACAGGGGTCTTCAAACTTGGCCCTTTTATGACCTGTGGACTTTAACTTCCAGAATTCCTCAGCCAGACACGCTGGCTGAGGAATTCTGGGAATTGAAGTCCACAAGCCATAAAAGGGCCAGGTTTGAAGATCCCTGCTCTAGGATTTGAAGCCTGAAGAGCACTGCACCATGTTTGCAGGAGTGGACAGTAAAGACTTCCTATACATCTCACTGGTAGCAATCAGCATGGCCAATATACTGTTAGGAATTACCACTCAACAACCGCTGGAGGACGGCATGGGCCTCACGCTTGCACAATCTGACATGACTTGTAGAAGAAGGACCAACTGTTTTGCTTTTTCCCCAACTGCAGTTACACTGATCTACTTCCCAGATCAACAACTCCAAGTGGTGAAAGGTAATCTATGCACATAGAAGCATTCCTTATGAATTACTATATAAATGTATCAGTAAATTACAGTGAACAGTTGATAATTCCAAAACTGAAAATGAATGTCTTGCTGCAGGTTGACAAACATAAGCCTACTGGGAAAATTATTTAGGATAATTTGTTTATTAATCAAATTTATTTAGCTGCTCAACTCAGAAGAAGAAACTCTGGGCAACCATCAAATAAAACCCATGTAACACCGCTGCTGCGCGAGCTGCACTGGTTGCCAGTGGCCTCCCGGGTGCGCTTTAAGGTGTTAGTTACCACCTTTAAAGCACTCCATGGCATTGGACCTGGCTATCTCCGAGACCGCCTTCTGCCACAGATTCCCTCCCATAGACCGGTACGCTCCCACAGAGTGGGTCTCCTCAGGGTGCCGTCGGCCAANGGTGCCCCCACCCTCTGGAACGAACTACCCCCCGAGATCCGGATGATTCCGGATCTCCTTACTTTCCGCCGCGCCCTCAAGACATGGCTTTTTCAGCAAGCGGGCCTGGCCTAGGGAGGATTTTAAATCGGGTTTTTTAAGAATAATTTTAACTGCACAACTTTAAATATTGGTTTAATTTGGTTTTATCTGGTGGGGGCTGTAAATATGTCTATGTTTTTAAATATGTTGTGAGCCGCCCTGAGTCCCGTTGGGAGAAGGGCGGGATATAAATCAAAATAAATAAATAAATAATAAATAAATAAATAAAACAACAAACATAAAAAACAATGGCTATAAAAATATAAAAATCCACAAAAATAAATATTGTAAAAATGAATAAGCAAGTCCTAGACCAGGGGTCTGCAACCTTGACCTCTGAAGTCCACAAGTCTTAAAAGTTGTCAAGGTTGTAGACCCCTGGCCTAGGCACAGGGGATAAAAAATGGCAACCTTAACGATGGAATCATCTAAGCACGCTTACAACTATTGCAGCATCCCCATGGTCACATGATCAAACTTCGGGCTCTTGGCAACAGGCATGTATTTGTGACAGTTGGGGTCATGTCATCACCAGCTGTAACCAGGGGTGGGATTCAGCCAGTTCGCACCACTTCGGCAGAACTGGTAGTTAATTTTTTGTTGCCCAGGCCCAGTATGGACTTCCAGAAGCAGCACCCACACAGAGAACCGGTTGTTCACATATTTTAATCCCACTACTGGCTGTAACCTTCCCGGCCAGCTTCCAAAAAGCAAAGTCAATGAGAAAAATCAGCTTCACTCAATGACTGCATGATTCACTTAACAACTTCAGTGATCCACTAATTGACTGTGGCAAAAAGGTTGTAAAATGAGGCACAACTCACTTAACAATTGCCTTGCTTAGCAATGGAAATTGCTAAGCAATTGTGGTGGTAAGTTGAGGACTATCTGTACACAGGCCTGCTTATTAACCTATAACCATGTCTCCAGAGAACTGACACCGTGGGGGGACTCCAGATTGTTACAGCTGTGGTGTGTATAATGCAAAGGGCTATAATAGGGACATATTCATATTCATGTCTACAGTTGAAGGCAGGGTAGCTTTTGCATGATCCAGGATACTAATAGCATGTGAATCTGAACCTATGTCATGAGTGCAAGGGCTTAAGGGGAATCTTGTGGCCACTCCTTGTGTGATATGCATAACCACTTTTGTAATATCTCTACAGAGCAGAAGTTGCCTGTCAGTAGTTCTTCAATAAACATTTCAGATTAAAAAAACATGTCACTATTTCCTTGCCTTGCACACTTACTTCAAGAGATCTTTGTCCTTATTCAAGTGCTGGAAAAAAGATGGCTCACATATGAGCTGGTTTTCTTGACAAACCTGTTTACACGATTTTCCGGTTTCAGCAATTTTGACTTGAAGAGCACTCAACGGAGGCCACATCACTTGACCATGACAGAAATCCTGAAACAACACATGAGTATTTCCATGATTTCCTAAGGGAGGATTATATATATAAAAAGCTGGAAAGACTGCCTTGCTTAGCAGCAGGGAATCCCACAGCCAGCAAAAATAATTTTTCCCCTCTATTTTTTTGATATAGCACATAATCAGACAGAATGTGAAGAAAATTGCCAAAATTTAAAGCCCATCTTATAAAGGCTCAAGGTTGACTTAGCCTTCCATCCTTCCGAGGTCAGTAAAATGAGGACCCAGATTGTTGGGGGCCATATTCTGACTCTGTAAACCACTTAGAAAGGGCTGTAAACACTGTGAAGCCGTATATAAGTCTAAGTGCTATTGCTATTTCTGTAGCACCAGCCTTTCATTTCTCTATGCTTCCCCTCCAAGATGCTAAACTGTTGCGAGTTGATTTCCTGTTGCTAAACAAGGCATTACTGAATTCTGCAGAATGACTGCTTACAAAAACAAATACTTTCCACATATGGAAAATGCAGAGATCGGGATAAAGCTAAATCACTAGCAGATCTACCTTCTAATTCTGGCTTGAAGGATAATAGCATGTGCAGAAATTGTGTGCAGTATAACTAATAAGAACTGGTGTGATACCAATTGTCCTACATGGAACTGTATTGAGCAAAGTACTGCTTTACAGTGCTCACTTTGTTTTGACTCTTGGTATTATCAGAGAAAGCATATGGTTTGATTCTAAAGAAAAAGGGAAGAAATCTACTATATATAATGACCCTGCGTAACGTTTGGGGCACATAAATTATTAGTATTTTGTCTACAGTACAGCACAAATATTTAACTATAAATCTGTACGCCATTAACATAAGGAATATTAGCAAATGAAACACAGCTTAACTAGACAGTCAAGGTTGGATCTAAAGTAGGATATAATGTGTGTAATTGGTTTCAATATTTGTAATTATTCACCAGTATTTAATAGGGGAAACTGAATCAGAGAATTCAATATGTCAAAAATCAATATGCATTTTCTTAATGGGAAAATGGCTTTGAAAGCATATTATTCTATTGGTATGACCTCGGACAGAGATCTGATTAGAGGAGGTGCAGGAATGGAATAAATTTCCGTGAATCCCTCTCTGAAATCTTCAGGTATGTTCAAAATAAAGGAAGAGAAAGGATCAGTATATCAACTGCTCATAGCAGACAGATGGGTATTTGGTGCTGAGTAATAACTCAATTAAAAAGAAATTATGAAGTATGATTTCCTTCTAAAAGTGAAATTGTTCCATGCTTATGAACAAAGGAAATAGAATTGATTTAGAAACCATACCTGTTTCTCAATGAACACATTCATCCTCTGGAGCATTCCTTCACACGTGAATTCAAAAGGCAAGTAAGGTTCGATCTGTTACATATAAGTAATATAGATACATTTCAATTGTGTAATGCAGGACGAGGATGCACTGTTCATCACTCTGCTAAATAGTTGGACATATGCTCAGTTAAATTCATTAGCAAGTTTTGAGTGGTCACCAAGAGTTGATGGCATGGCATTTGCCAACGGGGGGGGGGGGAATTCCTCTTTACTCACCTACAGCCTTACTTAGGTGTACTGGGATCTTTTGGGAAGAGGGGAAAGATAACAAAAGGCATTTCCACTGTGAAAGCTAAAGTTCACTTAAGTAATATTGGATTACACCCGTAAGTCCCAGATTTCTTGGGATTACACTTTCTAGTACTGTCAGTCATGTAGCCGGGAATTATGTCAGCTGTAATTCCAACACACATAAAAAGCACACGGTTTGAGAAGCCTATCATTCCTATGCATAATTCACTTTTTTCCCACTGGAAATATTCTGGTTCCCAACAAAGCAAGAATGCCCAGCAAATACAGATAGTCCTCAACTTACAACCACAACTGAGCCCAAAATTTAAGTGAGTTGTGCCCCATTTTATGACTTTTTTGCCACAGTTGTTAAACATTCACTGCAGTTCTTAAGGGAATCTTGCAGTCATTACGCTAAACTGGCTTCTCCCACTGACTTTGCTTGTTAGAAGCCAGCTGGGAAGATTACAAATAGTGATCACATGGCCCTGGGAAAGTGCAACTGTGATAAATACCAGTTGCCAGTTGCCAAGTGTCCTAATTTTGATCACATGATCACGGGGATACTGCAATGGTTGTAAGCGTGAAAAGCAGTCATAAGTCACTTTGGTTAGTGCTGTTGTAATTTCAAATGGTCACTTTATGAATAGTAGTTATAAGTGGAGGACTACCTGTATTACAGCAACAGTTATTAGCAATCCAATATTTTTATTAGAATCTCTTTTACAATTTTAAGGTTTCTCTAATACTCTTATTCTAAGTATCTAATCCTCAATACTGTAGCAACTTGTTTCAGTTCATAATGTGGTACTATTTCCCTTAAATAAATACCCCTGAAGTTAGAAGTATTATGTTTCCCTGAAAATAAGACCCAACCAGAAAATAAGCCCTAGCATGATTTTTTCAGGATGGTTGTAATATAAGCCCTCCCCCCAAATAAGACCCAGTTAAGATAGTCAGCCAGACGGATGCATTTAGTACCGTATGTCCCCCAAAATAAAACCTTACCAGAAAATAAGCCCTAATGCGTCTTTTGGAGCAAAAATTAACATAAGACCCGGTTTTATTCTTGAGAAAACACAGGTGTCTGTGCAGAGCTATATGAAGTTATACAAAAATGTGATATTAGATGAGTATTTCTCCTCCCTGCCCTAAAATTATCAATGTACTAAAAAAGCCATCCCACATATTCCTCCAATGCAACTTCTCCTCCAGATAATGGAAAAATACTTGATACTTGTTATAATTCTACAGATTTTAATAGATACGTCATCCTCACTTAACAATCTTAATGGGGACTGGCAATTTCACTGCTAAGCAAAGTGGTTGCTAAGTGGGAAGTCATATGACTGCAACTGGACTTTTTGAATGGAAACAGACAAGACCACTCAGTTTCACATCTTTGGCATTGTTTGCCTCCTTTGGAATACCTACTGTCTTCCCTATGGAATACTTGGGATCCCCCACCCTTTGGAATACTTACTGTCTTGTACACATTGAAAGCTTGATGTGGGCATGATTACATTGCTTTCAATGTACAGAAGAACAACTTACTCTCTTGAAATCTCTCCAATCTCCCCACTCTGTGGGAATTGGAGGGGTCAGGCAAAGAAGAGATGGCCTCCAGAAACCCCTTGCTTTTTCCCCCCTTCCCTTTTGCAGAGCAGAGAGCATAAAGAGGAAGAGTTTTCAGGAAAGTACTGTAAACTGTTTGTATAGCGTGCCCACAGCTCTCAGCCTTGGGCTGTGTAGAAGATCAGATTACTCTCTTGCAATCCCCTTTTCTCCAATGTCCCTATTCTGAAAGGAGTGAGGTAAAAAATACCACACACATCAGGCACAAGATAATGCACACTGAATACAATGGCAGTCACATGACTGCAGGATGCTGCAAAAATCATATGTGGTGATAAATGGACTGTAAAGTTATTTTTTTGGGCCATTTTAATTAAATGGTTGCTGAATTAATGGTCAGTAAGCAAGGATTATCTGTAATTCATATTATTTTAAAATTATTACATTCAAATTCTATGTTACTTGCTACTAATATATTTAAAGTATTTTTATTCATAACGAAAGTTTAATGCTACTTCATCTTCCAACCTTTTTTTGGTTTTATAATATTACAGAAAAGCTTTTCTAGAATGTTTATCTTTCTTTTGTAAAGATTTTTTTCATAATTCCTTACAATACAGCCTACCATGTTTTATTTCATTGTAAAACACTGATTAAGAAAGTAATTATCTTTATTAACCTTTTGGCTCGAAATTGCTTTCAGGGCCTGTTCCACTTCAGAAAGGTCATTGATATTTACTGTCCAAACATGAGGCTTCCCAATGTAGACTTCAGCATAGGGATGTTGAGATGTCAACTGAAAGAAAACGGAGAGAAATGCCATATTTTTAGAGCTTAGGTTCGCTTAGTAACCTTCAAAATTGCATATTAAGAAGGCTTTAATTATTTTTCTGAAATCTTGACTTTCAAAAAAATTACTTGCCATACTTTTAGGAAACCCTAGAACAGTGGTGGCGAACCTATGGCACGGGTGCCAGAGGCGGCACTCAGAGCCCTTTCTGTGGGCACGCATGCCGTTGCCCCAGTCCTAGGCTTTCAGCTGGGTTTTATAAAACCTTTTCGCTTTAGGCCTCTGCCGCCGTGTGCAAAAAAAAAAAAGAAGTTTCAATCAGTCAATTTCAGCTTCTCGCGGGAAAAAAAATCTTGCAAAGTTGGAATTGATTGATTGAACTTTTTAGTCCCACCCAGGCTGCCGTTACCACCGCAGCCATGCCCACCCAATAGACACGCCCAGCCAATGGGCCACACCCACCCGGCACCCAACGATGCATAAGTGGTTTTGGGTTGCAGTTTGGACACAGTCTCTAAAAGGTTCGCCATCACTGCCCTAGAAGATGATGAGGAGCAAATAATTTTAAGGAATGCATTTTTTTAAAACATGGTTTCTTTGAGTCAGTCTTAACTCCTGGTGACTGCCTGGACAAGTCCCTGCAGTTGGCTTGGAAGTTCAAGGAACCTTTTTGGGCAGAATGTGGCCCAGCCACATAATATCCAGAACATCTTGATTTTTTCCAGTTTTTAGCCAAAACCAAAGCTGGATAAATCTTCTAAGGTAGGGAGGAGATGGATTGGCCTTCTATTCCATGGCTTGTGAGATAGTGTTCACTCAGACATGGTCTGCCTGAACACTTTGTGCCATCCCTAGCTTTGTCACCAAGAAGCCAAAAGACTGGGGGCCAACCTTAGCGTTGAAGGAAATCTGTTCAGTAATTTATGATGAAACAAGACAACTATCTTTATCTAATAAATAGTTCTTGAATGGAGATAACCTCAATATGGCTGCTTCTGTAGGCCTTAATATCTGGACAAGTTAATAATGGAGTTGAGGCAGGGCATTAAGCCTTAAGTGGTTCTTTAAAGC